CCCGGGTTTTTCTGCAGCGGGAAAAAAGGACCAAAAAAAAAAAAAATAGAAGCCAACAGTGAAGCAGGAGAGGTCAGATGTGGGTGGGGACCACGTCCCCACCCGCCGGATCCCACCCACCCAAAGCGATGGGTGCCTTTGCTTTATTTTAATTGCCTGGGGGGGGGTTGAATCCTGATGGAAATCTTCCTCCCCCCCTCCCCGCTCCGTGCAGGGCAGCCGTGGGAGAGATTGGCATCGGGGATGCGCGTGAAGCTGAGTGTTAAATTATTTTTATGCTTTTCAGCGTGGAAAAAAAAAAAAGGCAGGTTTGCAGGAAAGGGGGGCAGGAAGCTCTGATGGATGTGGGACAGCTAACGGGGTTTCTCTGGGGGGGACACCCCCCAAAACCTGCCCCAAAGGCCAGGTTCCCTCTGGAGATGGAGGGGGACATAAAGCAGCCTCTTCCTGCATGTGGCAAAACGCGACGCTGCATCTTTCCCCCTTTTCCATCCGGGGCCACGCGCTTTTCCCCAGGGCTGATGGAACCGCAGGGCCCATGGGAGAGAAGGGGCAAAGCCATGGGTGCTGTGGGTCACCCCACGGGGACCCCGGGTGCAATGGGACGGGACCCCTGCCCTGGGGGGGAGAGGGCTGGGGCAGGCAGCCGCCGCCGCATCTCTCACCTCCTGGATTTTCCCGTACCGTTCCCGTTTCCGCCACTTGGCCCGTCGGTTCTGGAACCAGACCTGGGGGACGGAGGAGGGGGCTGAGGCGCAGGGAGCCCTGCCTGCCCAGGGCGAGACGGGCAGCCCTCTGCCCAGCCCCACGCTCACCTTCCCGGCAGGAAAAGAGCCCTAACACCATGCGCCAGCATCCCGGTAAACCGGAGATGAACGGAGGAAGCCGCCCTTGTGCGCGGCTCTCTGTGCTCACCAGCCTTTTTCTCTACCAAAAGCAGAAATTTCTCTTATCCCTCTTGGAAAATAAGCCGCCCTGCTCTGTGCACAGCCTTTTTCTCTCCCTTGTGCTTCTGGGCTTTGTTTCCCCCAGGTTTTTGAGGCAGAATGAGGCTCTTTGGGTCCTGCGTGGTCACGATGACCCACCTGCACGTCCCCTCCGTGCTGCTGGACGGAGCTGGGGCCCGGAGCTGGTTAGGGCGGTGCTGGCTCCAGCAGCATCTCCCGGAGAGGAGGAGGTGGTACCGGGATGCTTGCCACAGGGCTCGCGTGGTTACAGGGAATTTCATCTAAATCCACCCCAAATCAGGGCTGGGGGGTTGCAGGCTCGGGGTGCGCATCCCCTGCCTGTGCCTTGTCCCCAGCTCCTGCCCCACGGGGAGGGCAGCACCCAGGACTGGGTGGCTCAAGGCACCCAGCACCCAACGGGTGCTCCCTGCTCACTTTGTTACCCGCCGGCCTTTGCTTTTCTCCCCGCCGGGTGCCCCCTCCAGCCGCCTCTTCCCGCTGGGAGCCTCAAACCACACGGAGACTCCTCTGGAAGGAGCTTGCTGGCCTGATGCAGGCATGATGCCGGCGGAGAGGGAGGGCCTCATCCTGCCCCACGTCCTGGGATGCACCGCCCCCAGCCCCATCTGCCCTGAGCCCCCGCGCACCCCTCTCCTGGGATGGCACCTCCATCACTGCTATTCCTGGGCTGGAGGGAGCTGAGCTGGGGGAGGCTGGGGACGAGGGATGCATGGGGGGATCACGGTAGGGGATGCTGGGGGGGGGAGGTTGGCAACGACCTCCCAAATTTTGGCTCTTCCCACCCCTTGGGTGCTGCAGAGGGGGGGGGCAAGGGGAGAACTGGAGAGAGCTCGGAGAGGCAACCGGCCGCTCCGTGGCGGTGGGTGAAGCGAGCGCTTGGGCTGGGATTTCCCCTCTGGGGCTTAGCAAAATCCTCCTGGGGAAAACCAGCTTCTAACTCAGCATCACCCTGCGGAGGAGGAGAAAGCATCCTCCAGCTCCGCCCGGCACCACCCGGGGTGGCCGTGCCCATCCCTGCGGGAGCCAGGGACCCCTGCCCGTACCTGCACCCTGGCTTCGGTCAGGTCTGTCCGTAGTGCCAGCTGCTCACGGGCGTAGACGTCGGGGTAATGCGTCTTCTGGAAGACCTTCTCCAGCTCCTCCAGCTGGAACGTGCTGAAGGTCGTCCTGTTCCTCCGCTTCTTGCTCTTGCCCTTGCCCAGAGGCTCGGGGAGCTTGGGGACCCCGTGTTCCTGCAGGCCGCCCAGGGGTGCTGCCAGCGGGCACCCCAGCTCCCCTGGGGCTTTCACGGGGGCCCGGCAGGCTGTGGGCATCGCCTGGTACCCGCCTTTGCATCCCTTCTCGCTGCCTGGCAGGGGAGAGGCACAAGATGGGGTGGTGGTAACGGTGTTAACGAAGCAAAGACCCCCCCCTCCCCCCGGGCCTGCAGCCCCAAACCTCCCCTCCCAGCCCGAGGGACCCGAGGCCCCGGGGATGGTCACCCCGGGGGGGATGTGGGGGTACAGTCCCAGGAGAAAGGGGCTTGGTCCAAGCACGCAGCAGTCAAATCGAGCGCTGGGGAGGGCAAAAATCCCTGCTCCCGCGGGGGAGCTGCGGGCTGGTGCTGCTCCCGGAGGGTGTGGGAGCAAAGCCTGGCTTTGGGGTGCTTGGGGACCCGTGGCTGGGGGTCCTGCTTGGGGACCCTCTTGGATGCTGCTACCAAGGGATGTGGGGTGGGCGAAGGGGGACAGAGAAGGCGAGCACGGGATCACCTTGCAGACAGGGCTTTGCTTTGCGCAGCTCTCCTCGTCCCTCTCCTCGTCCCTCTCCTCGTCCCTCTCCTCGTCCCTCTCCTCGTCCCTCTCCTCCCGCTCCCTTCCAGCACGGGAAGCAGCAGCTCAGCTGTGCCCGGGGCAGAGACATCGGGTCCACCAGTAACCCCAGCCCGCCCCGGCGCTGGGCCGTATCCAGACCCCCGCGCTTGAGCTGGGTCCAAGGGGAGCCTCTGCCTGCCCCCGGGCCAGCATTTCCCTGGAGCTGTAACTCTCAGGAAACCATTGGGAAAGGAGTGAAAAATAACGCCCTCCTTTTTCCTGGAGAAAAGCTCCCTTTCCCCACCCTCCCACGGGGCTGGGGGGCCAGAGCAAGAAATGTGGGGGTTCCCCCCTTCCCCTCGCTTCTGGGGCGTCTCATGAAATGGGTTCAAGGAGATAAGTCGCTGCCATGCGTTTCGGAGGTCACCTTTGTCCCCCAGGAGGGTTGTTTGTCCCCACGCGGGGACCCACGGAGCTCAGCGGCTCCGGGCGATGCCGGGTGCTACTGGGACCCCCGAGGAGCTGAACCGGTGAAGGGAGAACTAAGGGGGGACTTAGCGGGGACAGCTTGGGGTCCCCCAGCAGCCAAGGGGACACAGGGCCGTCACCTGGGAAGGAGACAGGCTGAAAATGCCGGGTTTTGCCCTGGTCTCACCCCCACCCCGAGCACCAGCTCCAGAGACTCGGGCTTGCTGCAGGTGGAGACCACTGGCCCCCTCGGAGGGGCAGGATCAGGCCCACGGCCGGGCCTTGGGCACAGAGCGGCGCTCGGGGCTGGCGAGGAGGGAAATCGTCTCCTTCGGGATGGATCCTCCTTCCCAACCCGTTAACCATCGCATCCCGGCGGAGCGGGGTACGGGGTCCCCATCCCTGCAGACCCACCCGGGGCTCTGTGCCCCCCGAACCAGCCCCCGCCGCGGCCTTTTCCGGACTTTCGGTTTTGATTTTTGGTTGTTTCCTAATTAAGGCAATTTGGGGGTTACGGCGCGCAGCCGAGAGCCGAGGTCCAGCTGCTTCGAATTAATGGGCAAATGTTATCTGGGGGGAGGCTGGGGGGGGCGACTGCTCCCCGTCCCTCTCGGTACCGACCTGTCTACGTGCCCGGCGGTGGGTAACGGCGAAGGGATGAGGCCAAATTGCCGTCTCCTCCCCGCTTTGTCCTCCGAAGGACTCAGCCGCCAGGCCGGGGGTAAAAAACAAGCCCCACCAAGGAGCAGAGCGAAGGCAAAAAACCCAAACGTGACCGAAAAGAAGGAAAAATGACCGAAATAAGAAAAATCCCCCTGCGCAAAGCGACGCGAGAAATGCGTCGGGTTTGGGGTTTTTCCCCCGTTTCAAAGGCAACGCGCCGCATTTCCGAGCGGCCCGCGGGTTTCGGCTTCGGAGACAAATAAATAAATGGCCAGAAAGAAGGCGAAGGCAGGAAGGGAGCAGGATACGGGCGCGTAGCTAAATAAACACGGCGTCGCAGGGGGACAAAGAGGATGGGAAAAAGGGAAGATATAGATATTCCCCCCCCCCCCTTCTCAAACTGACACCCCCTGAAAGATTTGGCGGCGCTGGGGAAGTCAGCAGCTGGGGAACAGCTGTACGCTTCTTGGGTTAACCAGGAGGGGAAAAAGAGAACTCAAAGGGATCATTAGCGAAGGGATGGGGGCATGGAAAGGGCTCCCGGGAACCGGGGGGAGACACGGCAGCCACCACCGAAAGCCACCCCCGGGGACGGCAGCATCCCCCCCGCCGCCCCGGGAGAAGGTAAGGGCGGGGGGGGGGGACGGGCCGGGG